CTCATTTTCATAATTATATTACTAGTAAGGAAGTAACGATACTATTAGAATGTAGAAGTAATTATTATAGTTTACAGTGAAGCTAAGTAGATATAAATTATTTTAGTGCATAAATCAATTTTCTCCGCCGGACTTTAAAAATCGCATATCTCCTAAAGAATTTGGAAGAAAGCATTTTTTTTATTTACAAATTTTATAGTAATTACCCTCCACAGTGTTGAATGATTTAAGGTTAAACAGATAATCAAATTCAAACGAAGTAAAGCGACCTCTACCAGCCACGAATTGCATTCCAAATTAGGCATTCGTACATAGAATTAGTCCAGTTGACGTGACTGTGAGAATCAGCAAGTAGACACGCAATGAGCTCATCATATTTGTCACAGAACTGGTAAATACGTAACAATATGTTATTGGGTCGACACGATGACATGTACTGAGAGACAATCATCAAGTCGCTGACGTGAAGACCCATACAAGATTGGAAGGTACGAACTAATACGAAAAGTGTGCTCACAGAAGAAGCATATCTTTAGAGCAATAAATGTTTATATACTTAACAATCTATATAGGTATAAGGTTTATTCGAAAACATTAATTTCAAGAGAGTGTTCTACGAATGATTTTGAATGATTTTCTTTAATCTAAGAATAATCATTCCTTTCTAACAAGATGATATATATATATATATATATATATATATATATATATATATATATATATATATATATATATATATATATATATATATATATATATATATATAGTCCGATGTAATCCGAACGTTAAGTAAGCTGAAATGGCAATGAAGAACTAACAACCGATTGAACAGAAAGGTTGAGTGGTGTGTTTTCAACCGTGAAGCAGTTGTGTTTGCATGGCTGTGTTTCGGTTTGAAGGGTGGGATATGGCGTGAATTTACTGGGTACAGAGGAATAACACCTGAGTCCTCAGGAATGGCAACGCATGGGGGGTATCATGGGCGAAACAGTATACTCTGTTATGTCCATGGTACTGCTCATGTCTATAGGCGACGGTTACCACTTTCCATCAGGTGGGCCGTCAGCTTGTTTGCCATTCTAAGTTTTATAAAAAAAAAAAAAAAAAAAAAAAAAAATGGTGATTCCGCACAGACAAACAACGTCTGGACTTAGGACCATTAAATGGAGTGACGACCTCAGATGTATTACAAGGAGTCAGTGGATGCAGGTGGATCGCAACCAATCCTTATGGTAGTCTATATGGGAAGCCTATGTTCAACAGTGGGAGTTTAACGGCTGAGATGATCATAATGATGGTACTCAGCGCACGTTTTTTTAATTAGCACTAAGTGAAAATGTATTTAAGGTCATAATCAAAGATCGTTTAGTAGTTGACGTCAATGATCATTAAATGATCTTTTGTTCACATTAATTTATTGCTTTTTTTATTAACACTCCATTGGGTAATAGAAATAGAATATATATATATATATATATATATATATATATATATATATATATATATATATATATATATATATATATATATATATATATATATCATGTATATGTATGTATATCAATTAATACTAGTACTACATTCTCACACTTCCCTAAGGTTGATTGGGATAATGGTTTTAGCATCAAGTCCGCCTTGTACACGTATTTTGTACTAAAAAATAAATAAATATAGACAATTTGAATATTATAAACAGTTAACTCTAACTAATAAATGAACTATAACCATTCACGAAATATAATTTCAATATGTAAAGTAAAAATTATAACTTAATGCTTGAATTTGCTTGAAAAACGAAATTTTTTAACTTATTACACTTCTAACATTACTACGATTGAACTACCTACCCATCTTTTGTTAGTTTAATGAAGTTTAACCAATATATACTAGTAATATCAAAATATATAAAAAAAATAACACGAACTTCGTAATTTCAATCACGGATGTTAATAATACCGCAAAGCCGTCCACGTAAAGGGAAGCGAGACATATCCCATCGCAGCAAAACAATAATATTGACTTTTCTCAGCCACACCTGACCTGCCGATTCCTGTCACGTAGGGTCACCATAGATCCTTGGCCCAACTGATGCAGCGATACACCGCAAGGCCACGCACCGGCCTCATACGCGCAAAGCATCCAAATTCGTGAATCATTTTGTAGTTCATTTGCAAGGTTAATATTATTACACTCTGTCAACTGAATGACGTTGACGGTTCAAAGGTTAATCCGCGCTACGGTTGCTTTGGTTTTTTTTTTATTACAAACATTATGTAAAGAGTAAAGGAAGTATAATGACTTAATTTGTAGATAACCTAAAACCTCTTTCGATTTGGGTTCTGATTTTGAAAAAAAAAATTTAAAAGAAAAGAAAACTATTTTTACTTGAAAATTAACAAAAAAATCAATCAAATTAAAGATCTAAATTATATTTTAACAATCTGTGACTAAAATAAAAAAAAATATCTATTTATTTTTAATTACACATTGGAACGTATAAACTGTCAGTTTGTCTCATATTGGGTTTGCTGGAAGAAATCTCTTTTAGAGATAAGTTCGCCCTTATCCACTATTATGTTTAATTATTATTCTGATACAATACCATTTTGTATACAATTAAGAATAAAAAATTAACAAATGTTTCACGAACGTGCCTCACCGTCGTACCAAATCGGAAGCATAACAAATTATTACTATCAATGACACTGAGAACGAGCCATTGAAAACAGTGTGGCAATCCGTCAGGATGTTCAATGACGAGCCATTGGTGGAAAAAACGTAATTATAGATACTGATGAAAAAACAACAGCAGACACGCCAACTATTGCCAATGCCAATGTCAGAGCTAGACTTTTTATGGTGATAAGTAAACGCGAACACGTTATTTGTGTTGAGCATCATAGCGACCTAGCTGCTCAATGTCAATCGCTCGTTGATATCTAAATGTAACCTAAATAAAGTTTATCGACAAATTAATAAAGTATTTCTATGAAAGTAAAAGAAATTAATCAATAGATCATAATTGATTTACATTTCAATTTGGAATCAAAAGATTTTCCTCCTGCGAACGGTATAGTTAAAAAATAAGCACTCTTTTGAAATTTCGTGAAATCTATATAGAGCATAAAGTTCTTCAAAATGTATATATGTAGTAACGTTTATTAATTAACGACAATATGTATTTAACATCTCTGGTGCTGCAAATGTCCCGAGATTAAAATAATCTTTACCCGGCTGGTTAAAGAAGGAGACAGGTGTTTCTAGGTTTTTTTCATAGAACGTATCTGTATTGCTACCGTGTGGTCTTGGCATAGAATAGGCCACCCCTTCCTTTCCCATGGGTGTCATTAGAGACGACTAAGAGAGGGCGCGGAATGGGTAACAGCATACATCTTAAAACATCTCCAAAGCCTAACAGTGGTTGAAAATGCGCCAGCCAAGCGTGGCAACTACTGACAAAACCATCCCAAGGGGGAAACTTATGTTCAGCAGTGGACAACTAAAGGATGCTATGATGATAATCTGTATTGCAATTTATGATTTCAGACAGTTTTCAATTTATAACTGAAATTAAAATTTATTGAGATAGAAAAGAAAATTTATAGAAATTGAATTATTCATATTAATATCGTAGTAAGTAAGTGTTAGCGTTTCATTTCCTAATCATATAATTATATTAATAATTTCAAATCACACATTCATAAATATAATACAGGAGCAGTTATAGAATTATTTTACTTTGCATAATCCTCAACAACTACAATAATTTGCTGTCCAATATATTCTATTACTGCGTCCATAATACCTATCAGCATATTATAGAATCGCATACATTTATGACCGCCGATTGCCATAACAATTTTTCTTGGCCGCTCGTGGGCGTAGAATGCATGAATAGTTTGTTTGTCACAAAGTACATTGCTGTTTATGTCTGTCTGTGTATGCATCTGTGTGTCTCGGACGCTCACGTTTGCTGCGATAATGACACCAACAAGAAATCCTTGACTGCAATCACAATTATCTGGACATTTTGCATCAGAACTTGACACCGTTGCACCGCACACTCGCGCACTGTTTGTTTGTAGTGCTTCCATAAACGAAGAGAATCCATTTAATGAGTAGTAAACTACACTAGTATATATGTTATTATTATTTCCAGTTGAACTTGGCTTAATTATCGTGTATTCATCGATAAGAATTATATAATACGTGGTGTCCTTTACTGTATGTTCTCAAAGTACGGAAGCAATGGTGCCAGTTGTTTTGCATAAATAAAATGTCTGTTATTTATTTAATTTGTCATAATGTGGTCAGTTTACTTTAATGTAGGTAGGTTAGTTGTGTCGTTTGTATCTGATGGACACCATGTTGTTTCTTATTACATAGTTACAAAAGTTTCATCAGTAAAGGTTCATAGTACATATACGGTACGAACGTGCTTGAGACAAACGTACTTATGTGATACAGTAATCGTTTTAAGCGACTTAAAAAAAAGGGAGTTCTCAATTCGGTTGCATTTTTTATGTTTTTTACTTTATAACTTTGTCAGTTATAAATCGATTTTAAAAATTCTTTTCTTTTTATATATAAAAATCAATTTTTTATCAATTCAATTTCAAATCAAAGTGTGTGTGTAATGTATAATGTATTGTTTTCATAATTGCAATTGGATTTATTTTTTGTGGAACCTTATCTGTAATTATTTTACTAGAGTGCAGTATTAAAGTATCGATTTAATTTCTATACATCGACACACGTATCTACGTGATATATATCAGTATATTACATTATATACGCACAAAGTACAAAGAATTATGAAATTGACTCATTTTATTAGCCTGCGGTTTTAGAATGATTACAAACTAGAACAAATAAGTAATCTAGAACTTACTCATATGTAAGTCACAATGAAAGCTAACAATACTACATAGATAGTATTTATATTATAAAAGGACATAACTAAAGTGGAAATTCTAATGAATCAATATTTCCTATTTCAGGTTCGTGAAACCCGACGAAGTGGCAAAGCTGTGGGGGCAGATGAAGCAGAATGATAACATGACATTCGAGAAGTTCAGCAGAGCCATGAGGTATCACTACAGACAGTCGGTCCTGGTGTCAGTACCAACCGCCCGCCTGGTGTATCAATTCGGGCACAAAGGGCCCGATATCAACACGCCAAATCCTAACTTCGTCAAAGTGAAAACAGAAACAGATGTCCCTGAAGTGACGTACTCCTAGTTTAAATTTAAGGTTTAGGTTAGAGATAAATTGTTAAAACCGATGCTCAGTGGATGATTTGTGAACGTTGTCAAATTATGGTTATCGTAGGAGACGGCCCTATATTTCGGGCTAGAGAGCTCTTCAATTCGTAAAAATCCTTCATTGGCCAATGGCGAAAGATGTTACGAAGTCAGAGCCACAAAAATGGTTGTAATAATTAAGCAGATTCAGATGTAAATGTTAGATAAAGAGCTAAATTGAAGAGTTCCTCGTGAAATAACGCCCTTAGATACGCTTGATTCAAAATGTTGAACTTGTTCTTCGTATCTTCCTTTTGCAATTTACAATTAAGAATTATACAGATTTAAAAACGACAAATAATATTGGAAATGGTTGTACAATTAATCAAACGAATTAATTACTTTTGCATAACTTGTAACTAAAACACACATCTGATTTCCAATGATCAGCGTTATCTAAGAGTGTGTTGGGTGAATTGATTTAAATAGTTGTCTAAGCTATATTCGAAACGATTATCGATTAGATAGGTGTTTCCAGAAATGTTATGGATGTGATTAGTTCAGATAGGCTCAATGTTCGACTTGGCACAGTCCCCACGGTTATGTAAGTGTACGTTGGTATAAATTGTTGAGTGGTGGATTTTCCGTCAATTAATGGTTGTAAACCCTTGTTGAAGTGTCCATATTATTTTTTTAAGTAATTTTTATGTATTTTTATGACTGGTTTAGTGTCGACGAGATTCTCGTGGCCGGACACCTGAAGGTCGTTCGGTACTACGAATTTTTGATAAAGTATTTTAATGTTTTGACAGTTGTTACCATTTTTGAGAGTGAGTAGTTGAATAGATATTTTGAACATTCCGTTTTTATTTATAATAGTATTCGTAAGTTTATCTTTAGTTTCCAGTTTCTCTGTAATTTTAGACTAGTTCAAGTTGCCATATGTATTAATATTTGTTAAATGTACTTAAAAGTCGAATTTCTTCATAGTTTCATCATCATTTACCATATAGTTCTCAAGGTTAGTCATAAGATTATTGTCCGACATATTTTATTGAATTTTTACTCCCATCTCAATGTTAGAAATAATTTTAAAAAGTTATATACGATTGGCGCGCTTGTGCAATAATAAAAAGAACGTGACGAAAGAAAGATCTGCAGGCCAAAGATTAGTTGTGACAAAAATGTTGTTTTAATTAAGTTTTATAATAACTACAACAAAGACATAAATAATTTTGACAATTTTAATATAAAATTAGGAATAAGTTTGCGACTCTCAGGCAATTGCTGTGATGTAATATAAAAAAATGAACCGTTTCGTTTCTGTAGATAGAATCTATATTCTGTTAGTTGACATAACTATAATTTTATTAATGATTTTCTATAACTAATATTCATCGTTATTCTAATTACTTCTATTCTAATGACAACAACGGACGTACATTATAACATGTAGACATAGTTATTAAAATTTGCAATATTATAAGCAGTTTTGTAATATGAAACAATTTTGCTCAATACTTGAATGCTTCTCGATAGATAGGTTTCAATATAAATTCGGTAATCAAAAATTTAATTAGCAACACAACATATTGAATGTACTTATATGTATGTTTGATATAACATTAGACTAAAAGCTATTTTTGTTATTGTTTTTTCCAATGACAAGAAACATTTAGTACAAAACTGTGTCTTAATATACAACGATAATAAAAAAAAAACACTATACGTAAGTAATTATAAATACGTAATTCTTGTTTTAACATAAAATTTACAACGACGAATGTCAAAATTGAATTAACTGTATTAAAATGAACAAAGGTGTTAACTCTGTCATTATAATAGTTAGGATAAATTTATATCACTAAATTATTGTTAAATATTTGCCAATTTCAATGACAATATTTAGATGGTTTTGTAAATTGAACGGTGCGAAATTTGTGAGAGATGGGTTGTTCAATGTTTCTTTAGCGATTTAATAAAATACGTAATATATTGTAGTGTACTTAATCAAGTTTCTTGTTTATACATACATACATGGAGCCTAAAAGTCATGAATATTCACCAAATTGTGTATTTCATCATTAAATAACAACGTTTATAATTACAAAAATATATATATTTTTTAATTAACAAACAATATTACGTAGTATCGTAAAATACTGATTTTTCATCTCTTTTCCTCTTTAACAACTATAACTACTTTTTAAGGTCTTTGTCATTTTTTATATCTCCATCCTTCTCTTCTCCTAGATATACATAGTATATTAAGGAAATTTCTGATCTATGAAATGGAAAGGTGATTATTACAAGCTATCGTATATAAAGTCGACAGCTTAATCTGTACAACTTAAAAATGTACTATGTGTATGTTTATTTTAAATCTCTCACAGACATAGGTGACATAAAAAAAATACAAAACTAAACTGTATGAATACCTAGTAAACAAAACATACTATTCAATTGACGATTTCCTTGGAGATAAATGCAATAAAATTCCTTAATATTATGATTAATTTTTTTATTGTAAATGTGACATTATTGATTTTTTTATAATATTTTTCTTACATAATTGCGAATTTGTATAGCTCGATAGATGAGGTTGATCATAGAGGACTTATCTTGTTTTATGATCCATTGTTACCTATGTATAATAAAATAAATAAATAAAATTAAATAAAGGCTTAAATATTGGCGACAAATGACATTATTAAAAGTGTTATCTTGCTTTATATTAAGAAGACAAAAACGAAGGCATAAACTGACGAATGTTATTGTTACAGTAATGGATAACTTAATGTTGATATTATTGTGATTAACATATAATGTATGTTTACGTACCTTTTAACAATTACATTACGTAAATGTAGATTGTCACGAAAAGTAAAGTTTTGTCGAAATCCAGTATTTTCGACACAAATATATGTAAGATGTGTCGAAAAGTTTCGACTAGTTTCGGGACTTTTCGACACAAATATATGTAAGGTGTGTCGAAAAGTTTCGACCAGTTTCGGGACCATCCGAGAGTATTTTCGACTGAATACAAACTAATTATATCGGCTCGTTTTACAATTAAAATACCCATGTGTGTTTACAAATGTCTTAATAAAATTATCTGTCTAGTTTGTTATGAGAAATTTTTGTTTGAAATTATTTCTCTCAATATATTGCCACCTCTCAGTACTGTTTTCTAAGAAGCCGTTAAAACGGTTTGACGTCAGAGGTTAATAAATTAATTGCCATGATCCTATTGATGAATAATTGAGTTTAACAATAGAGATTAACCATGACTTGTTAAATACAATTTCGACCGTTCAATTAACTTATTCCTATTAAGACCCATCCAATGTTTTTTTGCATTACCTTAAACAGTTAATGCGTCGGAGGGTTATCATAGAATTGTCACTTTTGATATATTAACGAAATAGCATATATATATATATATAATATATATATAATATATATATATATATATATATATATATATATATATATATATATATATATATATATATATATATAAACTATATATAGTTTAGTCATTGATTACAAATATTGGTATTAATGTAAGTTCAATGAGAGTTTATAAGTTTCTTTGTAAGCTGTCCCGTTTATTTACTTACAGTTAAGTGTGATCTGTCGTTTATCGCCGTGCAATTTGAGAGTTGATTTATTTCTAAATAATTATGTGAAATAAGAAGAGAATATACGATTTATGAATGTGAACGATACTGTTGTTTTTATTTATTTATTTAAATAACGTTTTATGACCAAAATAAAATAAGGTACAAAAGGCGGACTTAACGCTAGTAGCATACTTTACCAGTCAACCTTTGGGATGTACAGTGAATCACATACGAGGTACTTTTTTATTGGAATAGGTAAAGAAAATAACAACTAATAATGTATATTTATACAAAAAAAAAATTAACAGAAAATAAAGTACCAAAAGTATAATTTAATAAGTTATTATGCCAAAACAATAATTAATATTAATGTAACCGGCACCTAAACATGAACAGTACTATGTACATAACAGAGTATACTGTGTCGCCCATGATACCCTTCAAGCGTTGCTATTCCTGAGCATTAAGGTGTTATTCCACTGTACCCTAGAAATTCACTGTCATATCCCACCTTTCAAACCGAAACACAGCCATGCAAACACAACTGCTTCACGGTAGAAACAGGAATGAGGTAGAGCTATCCAAGAAGATAGATTTTGTGCAAAGTATCCCTCTGAAAACTAATTAAATCATTACTAATAATTGTAATACAAAAGGCAGTTTGTTTGTTATTCATTAGTGACAGTCGATCGTCCTGAAATTTCGTGTAAATTAGTATTTAGAATGGAGAAGGACATAGGATGATTTTTTATTTTGGTAAGTCAAAGAAAACATACCGTTGTCGTGTAGTCCTGGCATAGAACGGGCTATTCTTTTCCCATGGGTGTCGTAAGAGGCGACTAAGAGAGCATATGGTAGAGGGATGGGTAGCAGCGTCTCCAGCTAAGCGTGGCAATTTCTGGCAAAATCCTCATTATGGAGAATCAGTGGACAGTGAAAATTGCTGACGGAGCACCAATAAAGGGTGATCGATGAGAATGAAAACAGGCCAGTTAGCCCATCATGATGAATTCATCAGGAATTAACCATAATAGTTTTCAGGGAGAACCGCGTGGAGGTCAATCTGGTACCCTATGAGGTATATTGCTAGCGATAGGTCTGTTATTACCCATTATTAACAATCCCTTTCCCCAAACATATATATGTTGGCAGAGATTTAATAGAGTAACTTTTAGGTTTCTTGCTGACTTGCGGAGGGCGGTTTTTTTTTTCAAAGAACTTTCTGAACTCTGCAATAGATTTTAATTTTTTTTATACGACTTAGAATGGCAAACAAGCTGACGGCCCACCTGATGGAAAGTGGTAACCGTCGCCTATAGACATGAGCAGTATCATGGACATAACAGAGCATACTGTTTCGCCCATGATACCCCCTATGCGTTGCCATTTCTGAGGACTCAGGTGTTATTCCTCTGTACCCTGTAAATTCACGCCATATCCCACCCTTCAAACCGAAACACAGCTATGCAAACACAACTGCTTTACGGTTGAAACACGAATGGGACAGAGATACCTAAGCAATCGACTTTTGTACAAAGTCTCCCTCTGGTAAAAAATTATGACGATTTAAAAGTGCTTGTAAACCAAGTCTATTTCAATAAAAATGATTTGAATTTGAAAGACTAGCTATAAAAAAACAGTTATTCTGTAAATAATATACACAATAGATATACCATATATCGCTTTATAAGTTTAATTCTAACATTAGCGTGTGTAAAACCCCGTGGTACATTCGAAATAATCCATAACAGAAACCGTAGGTACGTTCTGTATATATTTACGTGCCATAAAAATTCCCAGAGACAACAAAATAGGGAATTTTGTTGTCTTTGGGAAATTTTGTAACCACAAGTTTTGACGTGTGATAAATTAAGACTCGACTATGGTGAGGTAGGTATGACTTTGTATATTAATAACTAGGTTTTATAAAAAATATTACACAAATCGATTGAAACGTTCGATCGATTAATCGATTTTTGATTTGCACTATTATTGGATATCAATAATTTTATGGCCGAGTCAGTTATTCGATTGTTGTTTTTTTTTTTTTAATGGAATATAAAGAAAAACACCCCGCCAGTGTATACTGACGGTACTCCGTCAGTATACACTGGCGGGGTGTTCCAGTTGGTTCGGTGTACCAGTGACGGATTATAGATGATGATGAAGCAGGTTAGTTGGCCAATTCAACGAATTCAACAATAAATCCGTCAGGATGGTTTCTAAGAGGAGTCTAGTTTCTAGGAGGTCTATTGCTAGCAATGGGATTGCTAATCTCCATTACTAATAATCCCTTCCCCCCGCCCCTATTCGATCGTTTACATCAGACTATACTCGAGTCATGTATGTATTGTTAGATTTGGTTTCTTTTTATCATGCTAAGCAGCTAAGATTTTGGATTGTGCAAGATAAGATAGTGATAATGTAAAAAAATTAATTTGTTCAAATATAATGATTTTCTATATCGACAAAGATATGATATGCTTATACAGATCGTTTGTACATAAATGGAAAAACTAGCTTTAACCATGGCTTCCTCTGTGTAAATTAGGACCAAACCATCCTGTACATTTGGGATACAGAACATCCTGTCTATCTATTTAACAATTGTCCAATTTAGTCCAAATATTGGCAGTCCATGCATACTAATTGGAGAGGAGTTATACAAAATATCTAGTTCTAATTAGATAACCAGTTGGAGGGAAGGGATTGTTGGTAATGTGGACTACCAGTCCCATTGCTAGCAATATACCCTGTCGGATCGACCTCCACGTGGTCCTCCTTGGAAACCACCGTGCTGATTTCCAGGTGTATTCATCACGATGGGCTAATTGATCTGCCTTTTCATTCTCATTTATCATCTGTCACTGGTGCCCCGCCAGCGTATACCGTTAGCGCAGGCGGGGTTACCATTTCATTATCATTCATTAAAAAAAACCGTTTAAAAAAAGAACAATTAGCAGATCAGTTCAATAGTGATTGTTTAAGAAATATCTTCGTAAATTTAACATTTAATATTTTATTTCCTTAGTTAGATTATATAGATTAAGCCTCGAGCCTCAAAAACAGGTTAACTTTTTGTCAGCTAATTGTCAAATTAGTTTACTTGTTTTTTTATCAGTGTTCTATATACTTATATACTTTTGCATACAATGTATCTTGACGTATTATTTAATAAATAAAGTGAGTTTTTACGCATTAAAAAGATGCAGAAAATATAAAACATAAAAAAAAAATACAGAAGTTATAAAGGAAACACTCATACCTACATATTTATCACACAAAATTGTATGAAAAAGTTAACCAGCTTTTCTCAAAGCGTTTGTATGGAGACACTCTATCTATATTATTTAAGATAGAACTATATCATTTTGTAATATTTTTGTAAGACAAATCAGCGATTACATTCAAGTTTGAAAAAGTTTCTTTAGACAACTTTTGATAAGATACTATCAATATTACTAGCGCCATCTAGGGGAACGATGCAAAAAAATGAGTTTAAAAAGCATTCAAACTGATTCCAAATGCATGGTCATTCTTTCTGCTAATAGGTAGGTATGCTTCTAAAGACTAGTTTAAAATGTTAGTGTACTCAACAGAGGGCGCTATTTTATTTTGTTATATTAAGGCTACTTACTTATTTTATGAAGAAGGTAAAATTTCGATCAATTTAAATAGCACCAAAATTTTGAATGCAAATTACATTTTAGTCTTCAGGAGTGGTAAGCCAAACATTCAGAGCATGTGTTAAATTAGGATACGGCCTATCTGTGTACCAATTTTCATTAAAATTTACTTAGCTGTTTAAGAGTAGTTAAATACAAATATACATACGTCTTAACAAACTTACGTTTGTTAGTAGAATTTCTTATCGGTAATATTAATGTTATCTAATCGCATATTGTTTACCAAACGTAAGGCGAGATTTCACCAGTGTTACATTAAGACATTTGTCATTGTTATCAAAAGTTGTGCAATAAATAAAAAAAAAAATTAGTTATAACAGTTTGATATAATATTTACATATTAAATCGACCAATTTAAAAGCAAACTGCTCGAAGGTAAGAACGTACTTTGTATTTCATAACATATTTTAATGTAATCACTGCCATTTTAACTTACTAGTAATTAGATCGAAAAAGCTCGCCTAGTTTCGGAATCAATTCGTGACCCTCAGTCAAGAGCGACTGTGAGGCGAGCACAAACCTGATTATATATACGTTATTACATTAAAATATAATGTGCGCTTATGAAACTTTTAACATTAAAATTTAATAACATTATTATATATATATATATATATATATATATATATATATATATATATATATATATATATATATATATAATGTTATTAAAGCTTGAGCTTTGAAAAGTATGTGTGGTATTACTTTAAAAGATAGAGTAAGAAACAGTGTGATTAGAGAGAAGTGTAAACTGAAAGACGATGTAGTGACAAAAATTGAAAAAGGAATGTTGCGTTGGTTTGGTCATTTGGAGAGGATGGATGAAAGAAGAATTACGAAAGAGATTTATCGAGCAAGAATGAATGGAGATGTCGGTAGGGGCCGCCCTAGACGGACGTATGTCGACCAAATAGGCGACGTGCTGAAGAAGGGCCAAATTAAAAGTACCCGTAACCGACGAGCGTGTATGACAAGATTGATGAATGTGGAAGAAGCGAAAGAGGTTTGTTTGAATCGAAGCATTTGGCGTTCCATTGTTTCTGCCTACCCTAATGGGAGACAGGCGTGACAGATATGTATGTATGTATGTATATATATATATATATATAATAATTGTATCTACTTACCTAAAGTCAGTTTTAAAACAATATCAAAAAGAAAGACATTTTCAATTCCCCTGTTTTGTTTTGTGTTAAAATTACGTAAATATCTTCACCAATTCTGAATCTTTTTTTATAATTATTTTTGTACACGATAGTATTTTTTACTACGTTAATTTTATCATTTGCAAAGACTATTTTTTACGAAACAAAATCCTAAATTATTGTTATTTGCTATATATAATCGTCGTGTATCTTTAATGACGAAGCTTAACAATTCCCTTGTATTTTTTAAGTGCGTATGTTATGTGATTACTTCACCTATTATGGGTTCAAAATCGATTGATTTTGATAATTATTTTAGCACACTACTTCAAAACGATGATAATTTAGTTGAAAATTAATTAAATAATACACTTTTGCACTTGCTCATGAGTGTTATAAAAATTAATTGAAGTATACATTTCAGGCGATTTTCGACTATGTTATTTCTAATCTGGACGGGCCTGATCCTTTGTGCCCTCTGGCTGTACTTCCACCAGGTGTACTCCAGGTTTAGTAAACATGGAGTCAAGCACTTTAAGCCGATCCCTATCCTCGGCAATATGGCCAGGCTTATGTTCCGGATCGATTTATTCACTGATGACATCGAAAGAAATTATAATGCATTCCCTAAAGAAAGGTAAAGCCAAGTGTTTTAAAAAAGTTACACAGGGTGGATTCGAAATCATTAGCATATTTATATAATTGTGTTTCATAAAAAAAATTGACTTAAATTGTGATAAAACCAGTTATTTTCATTTAAAAACTAAACTATTATACAGATTTTGGTAAAATTTCTATGGGGTAAATATATCCTTTCAGATAAAAAAGATTTTTCCAAATCGGTTTACAACTGAAGAAGTTATGGGGTAACAAACATAAAAAAAGATACGACTGAATTGAGAATCTATTCAAATATAACCATAAGATTCAAAACAATCACCTTATAGTAATTTTGAAGTAGCAGTCATTATAAAATATTTTACTTTTGTAGGTTTACAGGAAAATACGACTTCATAAATCCAACTGTCGTGATAAGGGACATCGAGTTAGCGAAACAAATTGGTATTAAGGACTTCGATTACTTTTTAGATCACAGAATATTTTTGAACGAGAAGACGGACCCATTTTTTGGAAGAAGTTTGATTTCATTAAAAGGTATATGTCTCATACATATGTATGACCAATATTAGTTATATTAACACACATTAGTTATGACCACAAAATTAATTTGGGCCAATAATTTTATTTAAATTACAACTTTGCTGTGATAGACTGGTCGACAGTAGATAGTAGGTTTGCTAGAAGAAATCTCTTATTAGAGAGAAGCTCGCCTTTGTACATTATGTTTAAAATAAATTGTGTTTAACATTATGTTTTGTGTACAATAAAGAATAAAGAATAGTAGATATTTTCTTTACTCTTACAGTTTATCGATAAATTTTTAAAATTTTTAGATTTTTTTTACAGGCAATGAATGGAAAGACATGCGGTCAACATTGAGTCCAGTATTCACTAGTTCCAAAATACGTTTCATGGTACCTCTGATGGTTGAAGTTGGGAATCAAATGATCGAAGCACTTAAGAAGAAAATAGACGATTCTGGAGGTAAGAATTTGTAACTACCACCGTTTCTCAATAATCTTAACGTATTGACTGGAGGTTGGTGAACCTAAATAGACCTCCTCACAGAATAATTTATTTAAATATTTTTTTTTTTTAATTTATTTTATAGGAGAGGTCTAAAAGTGTTTAAAAAATTTACCAATTCCTTTTACGCTTTGTCTTCATGAACATTTGTTGCTTCCATTAGTTTCGCTAGATTAAGCAACTGTTTTCTAATTGTACAATAATTAATACTGTAACGTTACTTTTTTGTATTACTTTATTTTCTTACAAATTATAGGATAGTACAAGTCTCAGCGAAGAAAGGCTCGTATGTTATATTGCTTCCTTCTTTGTCTTTAATTCATACTGATACACTATATTTTCTTATTATATTTATTTTAGAAGACTTGTATTCGATATGAAATTGACTTATGAGTCTCTCCAGAAAATTTTAATATTATCTTTCACAGTAGGTTATGTGGATATCGAAGGAAAAGACCTCTCGACTCGGTATGCTAACGACGTCATTGCATCGTGCGCTTTTGGTCTAAAAGTGGACTCCCAAACTGATGATAATAACGAATTTTACATGAGAGGCAAAGAAATTTCGAAAATTACATTTATACAATTAATAAAAATGTTTGGGTTTATGGTTATTCCTAAGATAATGGCAGTAAGTATTTATTACAATGTGTGATCTATATCTATCAATGACTATACAAATATCATTTAAGTCAGAAAATCACAATATTTATAATTTTGTAGAAACTGAATATTTCGCTGTTCCCGGAACACAACGCCAACTTCTTCAAAAGCGTGATTAAGTTTGCGATGAACGATCGGGAGGAGAACAAGATAGTAAGGCCGGATTTGATCCACTTACTGATGGAAGTTAAAAAAGGTGAGCAGCCTCTTGGAATACTGCAAGTAACTGTAACATATGTAACTTTAATAAAATGATTCTTAAATACTTAATTTATTAGTACATCTAGGTAATCATGATAATAATGATGATTGTAAATATGAAAGTGAATTTGTTTGTTTTCTCTTATCACCTTAACAACTCAACAAATTTTACTAAAATTCATAGGAGACTGAGAGGAAAATAAGCTACTATTTATTCAGATCGATCTACATGCTCAGGTCGTGCGAAGTCGCGACCACGAGCTTAGCAAGTATAATGATATATTGTTGTTTTTGTACAGTTACAAGAATATAATTCTAATACGTAATGATACCAATGAAATTATCATTACAGGAAGACTGTCGCATGATTCACGTGATAAAGAGATGTCAAAAGTATCTGATGCCGGCTTCGCGGTCGCAGAAGAGTCATCTGTAGGAAAAAGAGAAATAAACAAAGGTGGGTAGAATAATTTTAATAAAAATGTAACAAAAAGTGTAAATTATGATAACGAATGATGAATTATGATGATCAAATATGGTGGATTATATAAAGTAGATATAATATTGAATAGCAAATCTATGTTTTCAGTTTTGTTTAGGAATAAATAAATAGTCTGGTAGTGGTCTGATAGTGTGATGAATAAGAATTATAATTATAGCAAATTAAGATTTCAGAGCATGCATGTACATACATACATGCACCATGAACCACGAAACTGAACTCTGTTTCGAGGTTTCCAAGTATTGCTTTGATGCATGGTGTTTTTTCTTAGGAATTTTGACAACACTTGCAAAAGTAGAGGCGATATAATATTTCATCACCATGCGGATAATAAACTCTTTAATTAATGTAAATTTTTTACAGTATGGTCGGACAATGACTTAATTGCTCAAGCTATTTTATTCTTTGTCGCCGGCTTCGACACTGTGTCTTCAGCTATGGCCTTTGCTCTCCACGAACTGACTCTCAATCCAGACGTACAGGAAAAATTGGTACAGGAGATCAAAGAGAATGATCGCAAATTTGGAGGAAAATTTGATTTCGATTCGATACAGAATATGGTCTATTTGGATATGGTTGTTTCAGGTTGGTGCACTATTGTAGTTCTATTTGGTACTTCATTTAAATTTAGCAGAGTAAAAAATCACAAACTTCTAACATTATGGTAGACATTCGTATAACAACTATTTTTTAAGTAAATAGGATATCCAAATTCCTTCCTTCTTAATCTTCCTTTCCTCTAAAAGAATATTAATTAAGTTATCATTATAAATTTTCGTGCAATTTGTATTCGATTGAGTTGAAATTAACGAAAGAATCACATTTACAATATAACGCTTACGGTTATATGGTAAATATGATTTTTAATTTATTATTATTGTGGCATAATGACAACGTGGTAAAATTACAGAAGTGCTTAGGTTGTGGCCGCCTGCTGTGGGTTTGGATAGACTTTGCATCAAAGACTACAACTTGGGTAGACCCAACAGTGAGGCTACAGAGGATTTCATAGTAAGTTCTTTTCTTTACATTCCTCTAAGAGTACACGCTCTTTCGGCCTACTCCGCTAGACTTATTATAGACAAAATAAATAAATATTAGAGAGATTATAGATAAAAGATAGTAGGATATGTTAAAGAAAGGAGTTGAGAAATTCTCGTAAAAGATAATGGCACTTTTTTCTCTACTGTTTCTATAGTACAAAACTTCTTTAAAATTTAAATAGAAATATTGTTGTATTACTACAATTATAATGTAAGGGACATCCCATCTTTTTCCGTGTCGTAAAGGGCGACTAAAGAAACTTAACGGTCGAGGGATGGGCAGCAGCGTTCCTCTGTAAACATCACCAAAGCTTAACTGCAGTTGCCAACCCGCCTGATAAGCGTGGCCACTAAATCTCCTAATAGGGGAAGGCCTATGTATATCTGTGGATAGATAACGGTTGACATGATGATAATGATAATTGTTTTAATACAAGTTTTTCTGATTGTTTCTTTGTAAATTATATCTTAGTTAAATATGGCCCGATTTCAATAAATTTATTCTTTTTGCAATCGATAACATATATATGTACGTGTATATACGCCTGTATCAGTCATATATTAATTTTCTTATGATGAAAGTTGCCATTTCTTTATTCATTAATAATAATAATTCTAAATAATTTGGAAGTTATTAGAATATTGATAATTGCCATTTCGAGCAGTCGTCAAATGAACTAGACACACAAATATGATTTGCATGTAATGTTTTCCCTATCGTCTAAATATTGACTGATAATACAGGTACTGCCAGTTCCAAGGCAAAAAACTGATTGATTGATAGATACAAGTAATTTAATTTTGCTTAGATCCGGAAGGGAGAAGGGATAGCAATACCAGTGTGGGCTTTCCATCGGGACCCTAATTACTTCCCGGATCCCCTCAAGTTCGACCCAGAGCGTTTTTCTGAAGAAAACAAGCATAATATTAAACCTTATACCTATATGCCTTTTGGAATTGGCCCTAGGAACTGCATTGGTAAGAATTTTATAACTATTGTATTTTTGGAAGTGCATCATCGCAGGATGTTTCGTCTAATGGTGGTTTTCTTAGATTATTGATACAAATCTAAGGGTTTAAATTTTTTATTTTATTATTTTATTAAAAGGTATACACAACAGGTTATAATCAATAACATATATAAACATTTATAAAAAGATAATAGTTTGAACTAGATTGAGACCAGTTTAAAAGTGAGGAGTTACTTTTTATTTCTTATTTTAACATAGTCGATCGAAATTAGATTAACACTTTGTGGTAATTAGCACTGTGTGGTGCTTACTTGTCAGGAGAGATTGTCGCCAAAATGTCTGTCAAATAATTAATAAATTAACGAAGTATCTTATAGCACAAATAATATAACACTATACTATAAAGTAAGTATTAGTTCGTTACCTCGGTTATTCAACTTTCTGATTGTCAGAATTCTAAATTCTCGATTATTGTTGAGATGCATACTTAGAGCCTAAAGGATTTTAAGAATTAAATTTTGAAGAATACGAGAACATAGTTAGCAATAAAAGTTAATCTACTTTTGCTGATGACGGTAGTAAGTCTTTTCAAGCGTCTTCAAAAAGAAGAACGTTCTCAATTCGATTTAATTTTCTTATATTTGTTACCTCATATCTTCGTCAGTTATAAACTGGGATTTGGAATTTTTTTATCAGCAAAGACATACTTACCGATTTAGTCTATAGACGTTTTATCAAAAGAGGTTTAGTACTTTAGTACTTTAGTTTTTAACTCAATATAACTGGTTTTGCCACAAGTGAAGTCTGTGTATTTTTTATTGAACACAATCTTAAAATATAACTAAACTTGTAGGTTCAAGATTCGCTTTGTGTGAAGTTAAAGTAATGTTATACCAGTTGCTACAACGAATAGAACTGAGCCCGTGTGACAAGACATGTATGTCGTCCGAGCTGGATCGAACGACAGTGAACCTCAGGATCAAAGGAGGTCATTGGATGCGGATTAAAATTAGAAAATAGAAGAACTACATATGTATATAAATGATATAATTGTACAAGAACCGAACCGTAAATGACAATAAGTATGTACTAATTTAATTAGCCACTCATCGATTACTACGAAACAGGCCTGCGAGCCTAGTGTAGTAAGCACTGATAACTAAATTTTGTACCCGCATTTTTGTTTAAATAAAGTCATTAAATATTTTTTTTACAAAATTTACATCGCCTCTCTTAAGGAGAGGAGATGGCAAACTAACAGTTCAGGACCCCAGGGAGAAAATCCGGTGTACTATGCGGGTAGTATCTAAGAGCCCTGCTTTTTTTATCGATTTTTATAGTTCAATTAAAACGTTTATCCTTTAACTTTATACTAATTCCTACACAATTATCTAATTACAAACTTTCGTCTCTTTTCACTACACTTTTTGAGTGATCATTAAACCAATGTTATAGCAGAAAGAAAAATTGTTCTCTCAGAAAATAAAAAAGATATTTTATAAATATAATTTTAAATAAAAGCATATACTTAATCAATATATGTATACTTATTTTATTTATAACTTACCTATTTTTTACTAGCGACATCGTTCGCATGGCCAGATAAAAATAGCCTACGTTCATTTTCCATCCCAAATGTTTTTTTTTGATGGGTGAAAATGGTATGGTAACCCCGCCTACGCTAACGGGATACGCTGGCGGAGCACCAGTGAAGGGTGATAGATGAGAATGAAAACAGGCCAGTTAGCCCATCATGATGAATTCATCAGGAATTAACCATGATAGTCTCCAGGGAGAACCGCGAGGAGGTCGACCTGGTTGGGTATATTGCTAGCAATGGGATTCTCAATCTCCATTACTAACAATTGCTTTCCCCTCTCCATCCCAAATGTTACGTGTACCTATTAATTACTTGTATGTAATTTGATGACATTTTGTAGAGATAATAAACCATTTTATACAATTATATAATCAGTATAAATAATCCTATTTATAGCATTTATTATCACTTGTTTTTGTTTTGAGAAATTATTGATATTCGCTTGGTGAAGAACAATGAAAAATAAACATCATCATCACCGGGTCTTCTTGCCCGCCTTTAGTAGTGTAGGCGGGTGAGGTAGGGGTCTCGGGGTAAACCCCTTTACCCCGGCTGCATCTCCGGAGGTAACTACCTCCGGGTCGCTGGGTTCTTGAGCCGGCATACACTGGTGGTCTGTGTATGCCGGCGTGGTGTCAAAAAATAAACATAAACAAAGGTAGCCTAAAACTTTAATATCAGAGGGAGCCACTCTCACATAAGTAAAAGAAGTATTTTGTTTTTCTAAATTAGTTCACCATGATTAAAATTTAAGTAAAAAAGTTCAATACCTTTTTACTTAAATTTTAATACATTATTATATGTTGCCAAATCTGAAGGAGAAAAATAACTCTTGATAATTCTATGCTTTATCTCGTAGTTCTTTCATTAGTTCAGTTTTTACATATTGAGTTGTTTTAAGTGACAAAGGAGATTTTTTATTTTATTTATATTTCTAGCAAATATAAAATCTGTAAATTTAAATCTCCATGTGCGACACCTAGTAGAGAGCGTTAAAAATATTAACTATTTTTAGCAGTACTCAGAGCGTAAGCAGATCTATTACTACTGAGCCAGAAATTACACCATAATGCGTATAGATGGCGCAGTAATGAGTAAGTATACGGGATTGTATTATGACCGGATATTTTAAACATTTAGTGCACGATTAAAAAAGACAAAAAAAAAAACATAACAATAAATATAGATTATGAAAAACAACAAAAAATTGGTTCCAAAGGTAAGGAAGTATATATTTAAATACTGTAAAATAATTTCTCCAATGTTTTAAATTTTTTGTACGTGTAAGTCACTTTCTATATTTTTTTTTTATTTTTTTTAATGGATGATAATGGAATGGCAACAGTATACGTTGGCGGGGCACCAGTGAGGGATGATAGATGAGAATGAAAAGGTAGGTCATTTAGCACATCGTGATGAATACACCTAGAATTCAGCACGATGATTAATAGGGAGGATCACGTAGAGGTTGACCTGACAGAGGATATTGCTAGCAATGGTTCTGGTAATCCGCATTGCTAACAGTTTTTTTTTTTGTGACCTATCAAAGGCATTTGATTGTGTGGATCATAAAACGCTTTTGTACAAGCTCGAACATTATGGTATAAGAGATAATGATCTAAAATTAATGAGAACTTATTTAGAGGATAGGGTTCAAACTGTAGATATTGACGGTGTAAAATCTAAGGGAGCTAATATTAAGATGGGCGTTCCACAAGGGTCAATCTTAGGCCCCTTTCTCTTTTTAATCTACATAAATGACCTTCCCTTTATGGTAGAGAAAATTGCAGATATAGTGCTGTTTGCGGATGATACTTCGTTAGTGTTTAAAATTGGACGTCAAAGTAATCAATTAGACGATGTAAATTGTGCTATGTCTGCAATATTAAATTGGTTTACATGTAATAACCTATTATTAAATTCCAGCAAAACAAAGTGTATAAAATTTACACTTCCTAATGTAAGACTAATAAATACACAGTTATTGCTTAATGACGAAATAGTAAATTTTGTTAATGATACAGTTTTTTTAGGTATAACAGTGGACTCGAAATTACAATGGGGGCCCCATATTTCAAAATTGGCCAGTAGACTCAGTTCTGCTGCATATGCAATTAGAAGAATTAGGCAATTAACAGACGTGGCGACGGCTAAACTTGTATATTTTAGTTATTTCCATAGCATAATGTCTTATGGCATACTGCTGTGGGGTAAAGCAGCCGATATAAATACTATATTTGTTTTACAAAAGAGAGCCATACGTTCTATTTATGGTATGGGTTCAAGAGAGTCATTACGTCAGTGCTTTAAAGACTCAAATATCCTCACAGTTACTTCACAATACATTTATGAAAATATTATGTATACACGGAAGAACTTAGCGAGTTTTAAAAAACTCAAAGACTGTACAAGTAGAAACTTACGCAATATAAATAAGCTTATTTTACCTAAATGCCGTCTGCACAAAATCAGTAATTCATTCTATGGTAATTGCATAAGATTTTATAATAAACTGCCGGAATCTGCATTAAATCTGACAGAGAGGCAATTCAAATCTTATATTAAACAATTTTTATGTAAGAAAGCCTATTACAGGATAGACGAATTCATAGATGACAACATATCAAGTAAATAATTAGTTTATTAGCATACAACGTTATAATTTTATTTTCTCATTGCTTTCTTGATTTAATTGATTAATTTTAGAAATATGAAAGCGTAGCGGTTTTTTGTATTAATTGCCGCATGCATTCTTATGTAAAATGTGAATACTATAACTATCAGATGGCAATTGTGAGTAGCTTTGACGTGGTCTAGTGTTTTGAGTAGTCATGCTCACTAAAATGTCCAGACTTGTGGCGGCGTGGTGGGCCGGGTCATTGGGCTCCCTAAAATATGGTCGAGCGCAGTGATGGCTGGCTCATCCGTCATACTCGTGAACGGGTGCTGCTTGTAGGGACTGGTCTGCTCTAATCACTATGACTGATTTCCTCTTATTAATTGTTTAACCAGTTGGTTATGTATTCAATTTTTTTTTTTCTTTTTGAGTATTTAATTGAATTAGTGCTAATTGGTGGTTTGTATTCACACAATTAAACTTAAAAATGTAAAATAATAATAAAATTATTTAAAAGAGCATCACGCAAGTTTCTTGCTCGTTCTTCTTGTGATGAGACAGCTTTCCGAACGAGCGGTAAATTAAAAAAAATGTAATGACTTTTCAAAAGTGCTTCAATGTAAGTTTATTTGAATAAATGATTTCTATTCTATTCTATTCTATTCCCTTCCCGCCATGTTTTAATGTTGGTAACACTGTAACTAGGGGGGAGGAAGGGATTGTTAGTAAGGTCTAACTGATTTATTGCTAGCAGTACATCTTATCGGACCGACTTCCACGTGGTTTCCCCTAGAAACCACTGTGGTTAATTCTAAGGAATAATCAAACATATATTGAAAAAAAAAATTAACTAAATTAAAACAGAATATTTCCTTCTTCTGTCTAAAAAGACAAAAGTCAATCATGTATTTAGCCATAGCAATATTCGAAAATAACATCAACGGAATACCTAAATAAAATATCGAATTTGCAAAACTAAAAATAGCATGAAGAATTTACAGAACTTACCTACCTACGTCACTATTATATTACAGTTAACCCTACAAAATATGATATTTGTTCGATTTCGAACAGGTTCCGGCAAACAATACCAATTTGTTATACACAGTTCGCTCAACGTGTTTTTCATTTAATTCACCTAGTTTCACGGGCGCTTGATAGTGGGCAGATCGTTAGGTAGGAAATTGATATAGGCTTCTAGTAGGTATTTTTGTTTATAATTTTTTAGTTAATATATATTGTTTAAAACATTAACAGAAAATTACTGTATACTAGTAATAGTATAAAGTATTTTATTATGAAACTAGCGTCCCGCCCCGGCTTCGCATGGGTACACATTACATCACATTAGAAACTTCTAAAATAATCAGTGTTTCTCTACTATATTATGCGTGTATTATACATATAAACTTTCTTCTTGAATCACTTTATCTATTAAAAAAACCCGCATCAAAATCGGAAGCGTAGTTTTTAAAGATCTAAGCACTTTTAAATATACTTTTTTCAAGTCTACTGTAGAGTTCGTAAAGGTGTATCGGTTGAGAAGAACCTGCAAGAAACTCAACAGTTACTCTTATGAATTTTTGTTAACATTATGTGTATTTATTTAAATGTACTTTTTTTTATGGATGATAATGGAATGGTAACCCCACCCGCGCTGTCGGTATACACCGGCGGGGCACCAGTGAACGATTACTAGCAGGCCAGTTAGCCCATCGTGACGAATTCAACAAGAATTGTTCACGATGGCTTCCAGGGGGAACCACGTGGAGGTCGACCTGATAGGGCATGTTGCTAGCAATGGGGTTGTCAAACTCCATTGCTAACAACCCCTTTCCACCCTATTTAAATGTACTATATCTAAAATTATATGGTCATTAAAAAGCCCGTGTATGATCGACTAACACCATCCTTTAAAGTGTAATAGGCTTTGTTCAATAAGTGTTTCTTAATAATAGTTTTAAATTTATTAACAGGTAGATCTAAAATATCCTTCGGTATCTAATAATAACATTTAATGCCCGTTCCATATAAAAGACCTATTAACTTATTCTAAACGATATTTCGGAACAGCAAGTTTGTATTTGTATCTAGTGTTAAGATTATTGACATCGCTGTTTAGAAACAGTAACAAAACAGGCAGAAGATTCCTGCCTATTTACAAAATGTTTGCGTATATCGCATCGCAGAGGATTTTATAAAATGGTTTAATTTTGAAGCGCTATTCCTCTAAACCTAAAATTAATAGTACATTACTGCAGCGGCCAGCAACTGAGGCATTGATGGACGAACGTACAAATGTGGGCCGAGGTGTAGCCG